TGTGTGTGTGTGTGTGTGTGTGTGTGTGTGTGTGTGTGTGTGTGTGTGTGTGTTGTGGGATTGGGGGGCGGGGGGAAGGAAGAAGGCCTGCACAATGCTATAGCAATCTGATTCATTTTCTAATTGCTATGGAGACTTACAGATACTATTATTGTTAATTGCTCCTGATAATTTTAACATTACATTTTAACATTTATTTCTCATTAACACTCAGAAGAGTGTTAGAGATCAAAATGCCTATTATGCATCACATCACTGGCAACATTGTATTGCATCCTTAAGCAACTGTGTATTGTTTTTCTTTTGATGTCATTTGAGTTATATTTTTAGTCAAGTGTCAGTGAGCAGGATTTAATTTCTGCGTTTTTAAGACATATGTTAGCGTCTCACAGTCTTACCTTGTCGACTTCTTATAAAGACACACTAGAATTGCCATTATATACTAAAGCTCACAACGCCAAAGTTTCCAAACCCAGTCCCTACAACTGATTCTTTTGATATCATGCCCTTTCTTCTACACCAGTTTCTGTGATGCTTGAAAGCAGTAGCTGGGTCATGTAATGCTTTAATAGCAACGGGAGAGAGAGAGCAGTTTAGTAGTTAGACAGTAGACTGGGAGTTGGCATCTTGGCTATAGTTCAGCTCTGCTACTGATTTGTTGTGTGACCTTGGGCAGCTCACCTAATGTCTCTATCATGGTTGGGCATAATAATGTCTATCCTAGGAAGAGCTGCTACTATTTTTAAGGGCTTTGACAACCAAAAGTACTTTGTAAAATATTCTACTAGAATTATTATTAATGACAATTTGAAAATTATTATTAATGACAATTTGACTGAGGAATGCTGGGAATTGATACAGTAGCTCAGGGAATGAGCACTTCTTAAAAAATATCCCCGACTCAGCAGGTGCTTCCGGGGGAAGGCAATCCCTGCTGCTCCCCACTTACCCACACTGCATGGGGGACTCTGCATGAGCCCCCTGACCCCCCGCCTGCTGCCGCAGCCCCTCCATGGCTGCC